ATTATCAAATCTGGCATAAAATGCGTATCGCGAGACGAGATTTACGATCGTATGTGACATACGCGGCACAGACAGTCGGGTAACTACTGTTTTCCGAGTGATATCGGTATTTCGATGCGAAACCAAAGATTTCACGCGTCGTCGCGTCGGAATGTCGTCCGCCACGATATTCGAGAGATATACGAGCGATCGCGGGATCGTTTGTACGGCTCGCGAAGTCAGGAGCAATCGGCGAACGAAACTTTGCCGACGGTCCTCGAGAACTTTCCCCGCTTCGTAATCTCACCGACTATATCCCATGGGAAGACGAAGCTTTTTCCTTCCTCCCCGACGCTTCTTTTCTCTCCCTGTCGGAAGGACTAAATTTAATTTAGAAGTTCATTTACATCATACAGGTGGTAACCGTCGTCATCATCCCGGCCTTTCCAGCTATTCCTCTCTTCCTCTCATCCTCTCTTGTTCGATTTGATCGCTAAATCGATGCTACTTGTAAGGTATGGGCAATTTTTATGTTGCGGCCTGTTTCAAAGTAGCTCAGTTATCTTTTCAATATATAATAATATGATAAAATCTCGACCACGAGTGCAAAAATTGAATGTTAAAAACTTGAAAAACTTTGTGAATTAAGTGGCTTAGGCGAGATTTTCTATTTACTTTTTTCTTACTTATCAGTTCTAGCTTAATTCTGTCAATGTAATCGGGTTTCGTCTTATCAGATACGTAATTTAAAATATAGGACGTCAATAAATAATTTAATATCAAAAATGGAGAGTTTACGATAAGTGACAGTTTCTTCTTCTAAAGCAGTTGCCTCTCCGACCGACGTTCCTGAAAGTTTTTTGGACTTTTCCCAGGTCTTTCTTCATGAATCTCACGCGATCTGTCAGACGTGAGACGCTCGCCGGAATCGATTTCTCGTTGCGGACGACAGAACAAATGCACTTGTCCATGACATTTCTATTACTTTGCGTCGCGCATCCGCCGTCCATTTTATCGCTTCGTTTCGCGACACCTGCCTGCTCCATATCTCCGCGTTCTCATTTCATTAAAGTCGCGACGTGACGTGCCGATCAGTGACGCGCGGTAACCGGAAACCGCGTTCTCAAATTAGAAATTGCGCCGCGGACATAATTCTGTCCATAATTGAATCTTATTCGCCATTTCATGCACCTCGCTCCTCGCTCGACATTATACCGTCACGCTTAACGACATAAACGACGATCGTAAATTGATATACTTCTCGCTTTCATTAACCCGAATAAAATCCATCCCAATTTACTTTCCTCCGCGAGCAACTCGACGCACGACGAGCGTTTCCAATTAATTTAACGGTGATGTGCGGAATAATAAAAAATGAGACCTGCATACGAGATGAGAATGTGGATTGATTATGTATATGCCTCGGGGCAAATACGCTGAAACGGTTTCTTCACCTGGAAATTATATTGCAAAAATTATAGTGTCTACAAAGGGAGATTTATCGTGTATCGAAATTCAAAGACGCCGTAATTGTATCGATTATTTGTGAAAGTAGTTAAGACGAGATAAATCGAGATGGACTTTCGGGGATATAGAGGGCTGTTCTTTTGATTTTTTTTTTTCCATAACGAATAAGATTCAAATCACAATTGATTTATTAATTCATTTACTAATTAATTAGTGTTTGGTACGGGAGTACTAATTACTCATGTTACATCACTGAATGATATTTTCTCGATATAAAATAAAATGAAATTCAATTTTTTATAACATTACAAATAATGACGAAGAAGACTGGAAACCTGTTCTAACGCGGAAGATAAAAGGATGGACACTTTGTGACGGCTCTCCTCGTAATGGGAATAAGTATAGACTGGGCATGTACGAGCTACATACTCGTCACAGGGTATATACACATGTGTGTATAAGTATGTACAGACATACTACTCGGACCTCGAGAAGTTTTTCACTTTATACGGGCAGTCAGCCTTGAAATCGTGTCCGATGGAACGGTCCGCGGGGACGGACCTTCCGCGGCCAGATACGTTTCCTTTTTCCAGGATACATTTTCTACGTCCACCCACACAGGCTCGCACGTATAACACACACAGAGCCGCCGCGAACGATAATAAAGAAAATAGAGGGCGAAGGTAGTCTCCTTATACGTCCGGCTAACTGCGGTACCTCGCCTTCGAACCCGAGCGCGATATTGGATCCCATCATTTTTCAAGAGAAGCCGCGTCTCCTCCGCTTTTCTCTCTCTTTCTCCACATCCGTCCGATTTCAGAATCTCTCTCTCTCTCTCTCTCTCTCCTCCCCGTTATCCCGTTGCCATTATTTCTGCCCGCTCAATGGAACACGGACATATGTGTCGCTATATGTACAGACGGCTGACGAGCGAGGGTCGCCGGTGGTTTCCACTTCACCGCAAAAGTGAAATACTTTCACTACAATGGCCTTTCGTTTTCCTTTTGTCGCGTGGAATTCGCGAAATGGATTTTGCGACGTCGAAAATGCTTCGATGCCGGGCTTCTCGCGGAAAGTCGAGGTCAGTTACACACGTGTCCGACTCTGTCTTTCCTCCAGTTCGCGAGAATGTAGCGGAAAAGTTTTCTGATGTACGGAAAAATATTTTTCAAAGTGATACAGCGGCGTTTTCTGTACAAAAGAAAAAAATAGAAACGATGTGTGAAAGCACACACACCAAGTCATAGCCGTGAACTTTGGTTCGTCTAACATCGAATTTGAATTTTTCCACGTTTTGAAAAGTTTCTCAAAAGAGATAATAAAGTACGTTCAATATTTTTCTTACAAACCAATAGAATATATAATAAATTTGACAAAATTGTCCGACAAATTTCTTGGTATTAATAACTAATATCAGAAAATACCAGAAAAAAAGAAAATTGAAAAACGAATTGTATATTAATATGTTTGCAAATTGCATCTTGAAAATTATACGCGGCTACAAAAAACGCTTCTCTTAGATTTTACTTTCGTGTCAAGAAATGTCAATACGATTTACAGGATAGACTCCAATTCAACCTCGCTCGATAGAGCGCATTCTTCATCGAGTTGACTGAACGTGTAATAAATCATTGCGCCGCGAGGTCAGAAAAATCATCCCGTGGATCGATCCGCGCTTTGCCTCGAGTACGCATCTCTTCTACGGTTAACCTGATGGTCAGGGTCTGCGTGCTGGTCTGCGAGTGTAACGAAAGGCGTGTGGAGCTCGAGGAGGAGAGAGAAAGAGCGGCCGGGACGGGAGGAGGGCAAAGAAAAAGGTGGAGGGAGAGATGGCGCACGGCAGGCGCGTGGCTCCCACGGGTCGCCTTGAGCCTCTCGGATTCCGAGAGGGAGAGAACTCGAGAAGAGCCAGTACTCTCGAATCCGGCCTCTCCTGCGAGATGAACAATTCCACCTGGGCACGATTTTGAGAGAGCTTTCTATATAATAAAATCCTAATCAATCACCTGTGAAACTTGATCATAAGAAACTAACTCTGAAGAAAATCGAACGAAGTACGACCCGAATGGACCAATTTTCGTGTAGCGTAATTTTCACAGAATAAAACATGGTTACTGAAAAACACGTGTCACTGTTTCTGAATGTTAAAATGTACGATTAGTCGACGGATTTATCGTTTCGAGTTACGCACCGTTATCCCAGCCTCGAGAAGAGGGTAACGAAGCGATCGATACAACGGCGCGGCTAATTGCCAAATTGGCAGAGAAAGCAATGGAAGAATTCCGCCAGCAGCAGGTCAAGGAAGGCCGGCTGCTGAGGTCGAAGGCTAATTACTTTATCCCGACGTGCAGGCTGTGCCCCGTACTAGAGGTTAATAGTCGTCGATACCGAATCGAATGGACCCCGTCCTTCAAGAGCCCGTTTAGCCGATTCGTTCTTGGATTCGCGTGAGCTACTTTATTAAATATCACGTGGCGTTATCGTTGATTTCTTCCTCGTTCTCCATTTCGAAGGAAAATACACGTGAACGCGCAAATGAGACGATATCGAATTGATCCAGTTACTAGTATAGTGAAATCGCAGTAATATTAATATTAATATTAATATTATAATATATTATAACATTATAATATTACAAATAATATTAAATGAAATATTCGTCGAGAAAAGCACGATTTTTTTTTTCATCGTAATATCAATCACATTATTAGAGCCTACAAATAAAAAGCATACTTGTGATAAAAGTAGCTTTTATTTAAGAAATACATTATATTGTAAATTGAAATCAAATCTTTTAATTCAGAAGTATGATAAGCTATATAGAATATTATCCATAATTTTCGTCCGTAATATTTGTTTATTTACAGTTATTAAGCCAATGAATTTCTATTATGCGTATCATCTGACTCGGACTCGGTTATTGCGCTGTCGAGAAGAATGAGAAATCCGACGGTTTCATTTCTCCGTCGTTATGAAAGAGGAGAAATGTAGAGAGAAAGAGAAAAGGCCACAAAGGGATCAAACGATGTCATTTCGAGACCTGGTTAGTTTCTTTTCAAGCCTTCATTCCATTTGATTCTCTTTGTTCTCGATTGCTAGTTTCATTTAAACACGATTGACAGTATTCACTCGGACTATCAATAGGTACGTATGACATGATTTATCTGAATTAAAGCGCGATATTAATTAGAAATGCCTTTTCACTGATGAAACTTTGTCCAGTGAAGACGTTAATATTCTGGAAACTTAACTGTATAGAAATAGAGGGCACGAAAATGTGACTTTACTGACTCTTATTGAGAAAACTATGGCTGACCAGGTTGTCCAATAACATGTCTGCGGCGGAAGGAGGTGGTATCCTTATGGAATTCCGAAGAAGTTACGACTCTGCAAATGAAATCCGAAACGCGCGCCATCCAATACCAACGATCTAAAATTGTTCGGTGGTTTGAAATATATCAGTAATTCGCTGTCTATATCTTAACTTTTCTACTATTTCAGATCTTTACCCAATTAATATCTAACGATAAGTCCGTTCGCGTCCTTGTGCTTTTTGCACTGAAGTTTCTCGTTCTTTTTCCATTTTGCTCGCGAATATCTATCCTGTTTTAAGAAAAATTCCTGAATGCGAGCAACACGACGAACCTGATATTTGACACTCGTGAATTAATTTATCAATAATAAATAAAATTCTATAATTTGCAAAATTGAACTTATAAATTGTGTTGAATTGTAGAAACGTAATAAATTGTGTTATACAATTTTTAGGATTTAGCATTTTAATTTTATATTTATTTATATATATATATATATATATTGTAAAATTTATACTTCCGTTCTTCATATAATAAAATATATTTCAACAGACTGTTTGTAAGTAGATATCTGAGATATTTTTCGTTGAAACTGCGAAATATTAGAAAGATATTAAAAATTAATAAATATGAAATAACGAAGCGAGGAGAAAAAAGCTTTTGTAATTTCATAGTTGAAAAATAATTATTCGGTAACACTTAGCGATAATGATGAAATATTCCGTCTCATAATAACAAGTGACTAAATGTCGTTTAGTTTGATATCAGATGCAGATCAACGATCTTTGTTTCTCAATAATTCTCTGAATTTCGAGCTCGTCCAGATAGAGACGGACGCAGAAACGTGAGGAGCTTTAAACCGCGTGGGTGGTCAATGGACGATTCGTGGGGCTCTACGTAGATCCTTATGGTTTACGGTCATATCTGCCTTCGCGTATGGTGGTGGTATGGCCGACCATAGCAGCCTACGTTCGTATAACTCGACGACAGAGAGAAAGAGAAGGAGATAAAGAAAGAGAAGGAAAGGTGCGTCGAGGTGGGCAGAAATCTCGAGTGGCTCTGTCTGTGTATCGCGCCGTATTCGCAATCACCTTTGACCCCGCTCGATGTCTTTCTCTCTTCCTCTCGTTTGCCACCTCCCCTCTGTCCTCTCGCAGTCATTCTTTTGGGTCGCTTCGGGACCATGCGCCTTCGTTGCGCCAACGATCGCGCTGCCGATATCAGTAATTACAGCCTGCGAAACTCGCGTGCGTCTTCTCCTCCTCCACCTTCTTCCTTCTTCTTCTCCTTCTTTTCCTCCTGCTTTTTCTCTTCCTCTTTGTGCTTTCGTCTCCTAGCTTGTCCTTTCTCGCTTCTTCCTCTTTCCCTTTATGTTTCGTTCTTGCCCGCGGGGCTGACGTGATAAAAGACACATTCGCAATTAACTAAGAAACTATGAAGCAGCTCTTCATATACCGCTTTATTTATTTGGATTGAAGATATCGATATCAATAAAAAGAGATATACTTAGTTGCGTTTACAATGATAGATCCTATTACACGTACCGTGTACAAGGCGAATCGTAGAGCGAGGGTCTGACCAATTAGAGGAATCTTAATCTTCGTACTATGTAAATTTATGATGAAAATTTATTCTCCCCGCGAGGAAATTAATCATCTCTCAGGCAGCTTCCTAGGATAGGCGTATCCAGCACTTACCTATGTAATCGTATTCTAATGGAGTCACCTTGTACCGAAATACTACGCAGCATACGCGATCTCTCAAGGTCCGGGATGATGGCAGATGTTGCGACAAACATCACACGCATTCCCTCTTTCTCTCTCCCTCTATCTCTTTGATGAAATAGCTGCGACAGCGCAACCGCGAATCCTTCTCTCGTCGGCGACGTAACAGGCAGCTCGTGACAGGCGTAATTACAACAGTCAAGGTGCGTCGCTCTTATCCCCTAATCGCGCATCCGCGATCGGCCGATCCGACAACGAACGGCCGTCCCGCGGTGCTGCCTCAGTTAATTGCATCTCGTTTGTCGCGCCTAAAGGACACCTTTCTTCCCTCTTTATTTTCGCCGCGCTAATTACGAAGTAACGGCGCGTCCTCAATTTTGCAATGAATCTGATTCCTTACGAATTAACTAGGAATATCGGTTCAAATTTTTTTCTTTAGAAAAAATTATTGCAAAACGAGAAAATTATTGCAATCACAAATATCACGGCAAATTTCTTGACGAAGGATAGGAAAAGAATTCGTATTATTGCAGAGAAGAAGCGTGATCAATTCAGTTCGTCTCTCTTGAATGTTTCTTTTTTTCGTTTTATTACGCGATTTTACTGCTGCAAACGGACGTGAGCTTCTCGTAAGTTTCTGATTTCCATTTCACTCCCCAAAGCGTGATAAGGCACTGAGAACGATCGTGATAATTACCCGCGCAATGAATTATTCGTTCACGAGACTGCAGTACGCGCAGGAACGCCAAAGTGATCTTTCTCTGCGCGGTGTGCTCTGCGTGATAATAACTTCGGTGCTTACGACTAATTACTTTCCACGTCGTTTACCTTTCCCGCTTTATTTCCGCCTTTGTCGTTAATTTAACCCGTCGACAGCCGCGGGCGTCGTAGTAACAATCGCAATTTTTGCCGTGCAGCTTCTCATGCCACCCTTACGACGCAACGTTGCGTCATAAATTCCGGTCATACGATTTTCAACAAATAATGCATTCCTCGATTCTAGAAAGAATCTTTGATTAATACAAAAAATTAGCTGCTTATTAAAAAAGACATTTTATAAAGTAATTATTATATATTTTCATTAAAGTATTTTGCTGTGTTATTTCAATATTTTAACATATATATTTTGGATATTTCATTTTTTTTATTTGCTATAATAATTATGAAAAATAATATTTCTCCTTGTATAATTAGAATATTAAAAGTCACATATTAAAATAAGCATTAAATCCTTAAAAGATTCATCAAAAATAGATATTAAATAAACATTATATTCTAAATCAACGCTAAAATGTAGTAAAATTGATGTTACTATATTGTCGAAGTCAATAATAGTCTCGGATTGTTGATGAATAGCTAATTGAACGCTTGTCACGCGTGAGAAGCGTTGTCGGTCTTTGCTATCGCCTTTTCCAGGCTTGATGCCCCATGGGGCACGTCACATCTTGACATTTACATACTTGATACGTAATACATTATTATTGCATAACAGGATTGATAGGTACATATCTCCCGAACTTTCGCGAAGTTGCCAGTTCGCACGTTCACCAGGAAGAAGTTTTGGCTGGACGGCCAATCTGCTCGAGCCTCGCCCAGGACGAACAGCTGGATGAACGAAACCCCCGTGTGGTCACGAGACATGGACGTCCACCTAATGTATCGCGACATCCGACACTGAAGTCTGAATGGGAAGCATTGTCCCGCGACATTGTAACGACTTGATCGAACCAGTATCGTAACGGTCGAACGACTCTCAGCGGCGGCGGTGACTATCGCGAGAAATTGTTTCGCAAAGTAGTTCGCACAGGTGGTGCCAGAATGATTCCCGATGGTCTTGCTCCGAGACGTTTCCATTCTCGAAAGCCCCCCCAGAACCCCCCTCCCTCCCCCCCCGTTCTCCGTTTCCCTTCGCTGTGTTACTTGGCGTCCCGCAATCAACGTAGTTCTCACCATTGTTTAGGACGACGGTTCTCAAACGCGCCACGACTTTCTTCCTCGACGTTGATTGCGAGGATACGAGAATGATTTGGGACGCGCGAATCTCAGCTCCTCTTCCCTCCGTCTTTCTCTCCTTCTCTCTCCCTCGTAATCCTTGATCTTTTCGCGGTTTACAGTCTCCGAGGCTTGTCGTCGCCGAGGATTGCGAGAGCTTGCATTTTTCTGTCGGCCGCGGGCTGTTGTGTTCGAAAATCCTTTTCATCGTCGACGTGAAATGACGGGCGGTATAAATGGAGAACTTGACAGGCGCTTTTTTCCAAACGCATGCGAAAGATTGCGAAAGCTATTCTTATTTCTTTCCCGTACACGGAAAATGTAATAAAGAATGAATGAAATTTAAATTTCATTTAAGTCCTTCCTTCTTCTGCTCTTTTATGCACAAGTAAGAGATTTTATAGGTCGCGGCATTAAACACGATTTTTACGTAGACGATGTTATTCTTCAAAGTTAACATCGTTTGCAATGATCAATATCGATGTAATTCAAAGTACAGGGTATATGATCGAAAGAATAGAACACGTTCGACAGATTTTATCATATATATGGAAGTAAATAAAAAATAATTTGTCAACGGATATAGCTGTTATGATAATATTCTCTGGTATGTACAAAAAAAATAGTTTCATACTTGATGCAACGAATTTATATTCGAATCTGCACATTCGTTGAACCGAATCAATATTTAAATGCACTCGCTTCGCTTCCCGGCCGAAATCAAATTTTATCTGCGTTTATACTTTTTTCACAGAATTCAAGCGCAAAAGCCACATTTATATTCAGTAAAATTTAATTTTCCCGTCTTGTGGATTTGCCGCAATGCTTTGCGGCATTCACATTTAACGATGTCATACATGTCACAGAATCGAGACAATAAAA